CAAAAGGTTTTTTACCCAGAGAGGGAAAAAAAGTCATTACAAAACTTTGCTGTCATGCCACAGTTTTCCATTGGAATGTCTGCACGTCTTACCTTGGCCTTTAAGGGGTTTTAGAGTACTTGGTCAAACTCAAGGACATGCCCTAAACACACACCTGACATGAGTATGAGATAATAGAAGAGTGTTTCTCATTATCAGAAATAAACAATTATCTGACTGTGCAAATCAAAGCCCTCCTCTTTATATTGGGGCATCGCTGGAGGGACTTTATCAATTTACATTGACTTGCATAGAAATTGTTACAGTTCTAGAATGAAAATACTTTTCTTTCTTGTTTTTGGCCATTACAAATGGTAAGGTTTTCTCTCGGTGTGAGTTAGCATGGAAACTCAAGGCTTCAAGAATGGATGGGTATCAGGGGTACAGTCTGGCAAACTGTAAGTATACAATCTTCTCCCTATACAACTTACACAGCAATTGGCTGGTTGAGTCACTTGAAAATGCCCAGATCAAATTTTGTTGCTTGGTACAGTTGACCAGTTACTACCTGCTCATGTTCATTCTGAATTTGTCTGGATTTGCCCTATTCCAGGGGTCTATCTAAATGGTCATCAGCCCACAACACTGCAGCCACCAACCAAAACCCTGATGGATCAATGAACTATGACATCTTCCAGGTCAACAGCCGCTGTTGGTGCAATATTCACCAGACACGTACACCAAATGGTTGTGGTATCTTTTGTAGTGGTGAGTAGACGTGTCACGCCCAGCTCCATACGATCCTCGTGTGTGCCACGCCCCTTCATTACCTCGTGTCAATTCCCGATGGTGATCACCTGTGTCCTGTTATGTTTGACTAGTCCTGTGTATATTAGTCCGCGTCTCCCTCGGTTTCCCAGATCTGTCATTGTCCTCTATGGCTGTGAGTTCTCGTCCGTGCCTGTTTGACCTGTTTGTGCCACGAAATAAACCCCGTTCACCCGTCAGTCCGGCTGCTCTCAACCAGCTAGGTTTTAATAGTGAGTTTGTATGAGAAGGGAAGATCTTGGGATCACATCTTCATTGGTACTGTGCCTTCAAATGTGCAATGCAACGGTCTTTGGTCATTGTTTTGCAGAACTATATATATATATATAATGTCCTCCTGAGACCTAAGGAAAAAAGTATCCTTCAATTTTAGGTTATTTGTCTTTGGAGGAAATAAGACATCTTACAATTTAGATTTTTTCAAATTCATTTTTATTTTTAATTTCACAGCATGTTCTATTTAGTGTACAACAGGAATAAATACGCTTCTTTACATCAGTGAAAAGATAGATGCAAAAACAAAATGTCCACTACAATGGACATAAATGAATGGGTGGGGTCTCAGGAGGATATAAGTCAGTTGAGCTGTCAAATTCTGCTCCTGATGGGGAGAGGGTTTTTGCATATTTACTACTGTTCTGGGATCTCTTAACGATGTGTCATTTTGATCATCAGGAATGGCTGGAACTCAAATGGCCGTGACCTGAGCTCATACTGTACATTGAAGGCTGTGTGGTCTGACGCACGCTGCAGTGTGATTACCACCACAAAGCTTCTAGCATTCTGCATTTTCAATGGTTGTCTTCACTGAAATCCTTCATTAATTTTATGAAGCAGAAGTGAACACATCCATCCAGTGAGGAGACAATGTTACAATCTTGCTTATTATTTGCTGTCCATATATTAAACATGATTAAATGTTGACTAGAACCATGTCAGATGGTCATGCCTCATTACTGACTGATTTGTTCCAGCTGTTCCTCATTTGTGCTGTTTGAGCATTTGTTCTGACAACAATTGGTACTGTTCTTGTCCATCTTGACAGTTGGTGTCCTCCCATTTTGAGCAATCCACCCATTTGTAAATGGTTCCTATTCCTTCTCCTATCTCTGTTTCATGTGAATCTGTCCAGAGTCCCTATAAGCTTTGTGGATGTAGCTGTGTTGGAATGTGTGCAATCCCATGTGTCAGGGAGAGAACACAAACTCCACACAGGTGTGTTCCATTTACCTTTCCAATTGTTAATTGCCCACCCAACAATACAGAGCCCTCCCCTTAAATTCTAGGATTGCATAAAAGGTGGTTCAAGGTGTTTTTGTGGTTCGAGGCCTATGACACAATCAAGCCTTCACTTATTTCCTCCCATTGTGTAAGAACAGTACAAGGAACTAACATGTTTCAAATTTCATTTCCGTAATTATAAACTTTGTCCACCCAACAATACAGAGCCTTCCCCTTAAATTCTAGGATTGCATAAAAGGTGGTTCACAGTACGTCGACCCACTTGGACGTCTCCTCGCTTCTCAAAATGAAAGTGTTTGCGCTTTTCATTTCTGTCCTGCTAGGAACAGCAAGTGCTAAGGTTTTTGAGCGATGTGAGTTGGCGCGGAAACTCAAGGCTTCTGGGTTGGATGGGTACCATGGGTACAGCTTGCCTAACTGTAAGTGTAACAGTGTCACATCCTGCCACAAGATTCAACTGCCTTCACTTGTGCTTCTTGAAACAGGCTTGAAGGTCATCAAGGCCAAGCATTGGTCATTGGTTATGTAAAATGGATGTATAGATGAATGGATGTATTTCCAAAGTGCTGTATAAAGGGAATGATTCTATACTAGTAAGTTGTCTACGGCTGAAAAATCTTTGAGAAACATGTATGTTTATCCATCTGTTCACCAACTTATCCTGATGTTTGGTATTATAGTCCGATTGCTGGTCTTGAACTATTGTTTACAAAATATTATTTGTGCTGCCATTTCCCAGGGGTTTGTTTGTCCAATTGGGAGTCAAGTTACAACACTGCAGCCACCAACCGGAACTCTGATGGATCAACTGATTATGGCATTTTCCAGATTAACAGTCGCTGGTGGTGCAACGACTTCAAGACTCCTCTTGCCAAGAATGCTTGTGGCATCAACTGTAGCCGTAAGTAGAAACATCATAAGCACTATAGTTTGAGTGGTATATCCATCCATCCATCCATGCATCTTTTCATCCATCAATCTTGCAGCCTGTTGTACCCCATTCTGCCTGAGGTCAATGTAAAACTTAATTTCAAAAGCATGATGGAATAATAAATGCCAACCTACCAATTTTGAGTAATAACGAAGCAGCTGACAAGATGGGCTCCATGAAAGATGTCTCATTTTAGTGAACTTTTGTGATTCTTGTTACTCATAAGTAAGTGAGAACCTCAATCCTGTATTTGCTCATATCTTGTGTGTGAATGGTATGAAATCATTTGAGTAGAGTGCATTGGCCAGTGTCTGTCTCAGCAGATTAGGATGCGGAGTTTGGAAGGTCGCTGGTTCAAATCATGAGGATAGTAGAGTGATTTCACCACTCTTGTGTAAGGCCCTTAGTCCCAGTTACTCTAGGGCCTGGGTGCTTTCTCAAATATATGTTACTTTGGACTGTCTGCTGAATAATTAAAAATGCATGTGTATATTACACCTTCAATGACCTGACTGACAACATGTCCCCTGGTCATTCTCCTGCAGAACTGCTGTCTGACGACATTGATGTAGCCATCACGTGTGCCAAGCGTGTGGTCAGAGACCCCAATGGCATGGGAGCCTGGTAAGAATTAGATTGTATCTGATTTACACACCCAATGGAACAATACTTTTTTGTCTTTAATTATATGGATATGGAGTCGCCCATGTTGTATACTTGTTTCAGGTTTTGTCAGATACTCATGTAACACAGTGAGATTCTTATGCCACAGTAACAGAACTTGCATTATCATTACTGTTGTGACAAACCTCTGCATTGTGTTCCATCGCCCCTTTGCTAATTTGTGTCATTTCGGCCATCAGGGTGGCCTGGCGGAATCGCTGCCAGGGTCGCGACCTGAGGCAGTACACTGCAGGCTGTGGGGTCTGAATCAAACGCCCAGGAGCCAGAACATGCCTGTCTTGGGGCTCCTTGCTGAAGATAAACAGTTCCTTTAAACCACTTGTGGGGACATCCACACAAAAAAGAAAATTATCAAACTTTCCTAAATGTGCTATATTTTAACAGCAGCTTTCAATAGTAACAGATCAATTAAGGATGAAGTTAATATGTTTACCCAGGGGGCGGCAGTAGTAGGCCACGGTGTGTGTAACCTAGCAACAGCAATCAAGAATATAGTACATGAATATTCATCCCATGTTGAAGAATGACTTTCAAACGATTTTTGAAACTTTACACCAGGGGTCACCAACCTTTTTGAAACTGAGAGCTACTTCATGGGTACTGAGCCATACGAAGGGCTACCAGTTTGAAATGCCCAAGATCCTAAGCTTATCTAAACTTCATGTATAATAAACATGTTTTAAATGCTTTTTTTAGATACTGTCATTTTCAAATCCATATAAATGCAAATATGCTTAAAGAAGAATAACAACAGGATAAAATTAAATTTTAGACACTACTCACTGGTGAGTTGTGCTATTTTTAGAACAGGTCTGCGGGCGACTCATGTGGTACTTGGGGGCATCCTGGTGCCCGCGGGCACCATGTTGGTGACCCCTGCTCTACGGGCTCTTTCTCGCCACCTCATTGCCTTTTAATAGTATATATACATATAATGTTAATCTTACTGGATTTCGAAAAACTTTAGGTTTGTGTTGGCCTCATTAAAAATAACACAGCATGTTGAACAATTCATTTAACATATCCCTTCATTTACTTCACATGCTCTTTAATTTAGTTACATTGTCTCAAGTGTCATGATAGTTGTGTTTTTATAAGGAATAATTTAACTGGCAAAGAAAATTATAATTCAATGAGTAAGTAAGTAAGTAAAATTTATTTTTAAAGCACATTTAAACACAGCTATTGCTGACCAAAGTGCTGTACATCAATGATAAAATAATAAAAGTAAATAAAAAGTAAATAAAAAATAAATAAAAAATAAATGATAATAATAAAAATAATAATAATTGCATGTTATAACAAGCAGAACTTATCCAACAAGAATAGACACATTAGGACACCAGAAATAAGAGAATTACGGCTATAGGAAAGCCTGTGAATAGAGGTGAGTTTTTAATCTAGCATCAATGAGCAGATGTATCAGGTTATCTGACTGTGAAGGGTTTAAAATACATATGGAGACATACATTCATATTGGAGGCGTACAAAAGAATAGAAACACTTAACAAGACATTAACATCAACACCTAAAAAGTAGGGTTAGCTGTCACCTTCAGATCAGCTTCACTCCTTCTGCTATACAGATTCTTTAACTGTGTATAGTGAGATAATGGGCCATTCTTCAAGAAGACAGGCTTCCAATTCCCCTGTGAATGAGGTGGAAATCTACTCCATAACATCTCATAAAGGTCCAGTGATTTTAGATCTGGTGAATGCGGAGGCTGTGAATGGCATTTGAGCTCATCTTGGTGTTTAATAAACCATTACAGTCTTATTCAGCAGAATTAATTATTACCCTAGGTGCATCTGATCCTGTACAATGACCTCATATTGCTTGGCCTTTATACAGTCATACAGAGTGATCATCAGACTCGACGACTCCTTTACAGTACCAGCATGCAGCCTGCACTCTGCTGTGACGGCATCCGTTGACTTTCTCCACATGTACAGTATACCCTTCTGGATGCTGCGTGATGAGTGATGACTCATCAGAGCATATTACTTTTTTCCCCAGAGGGCCCAAATTTTGGATATAACCAGAGGTGGAGATTTCAGGTCCAAAAAGTATAAATCCAGACCAGGATTTTGTTTCAACCAAGCAGTTGAGTACTCTGTGACTGTGACTCTGGTTGGTTGAAACAAAATCTTGGTCTGGATTTGTACTTTTTGGACCTGAAATCTCCACCTCTCCACAATATACAGTTTTTGTAGAGACTGGGTCACATCTGTTCCCCTGGGCTTGTTAAACAATTCTTGACCAAGTTTTTGGCCTCTTTGGAACTCTGTGAACTAGCTTGTGTTTCATGGACCATTTCTATCTATACTTTTCAGCGGGTGAGAAACACTTATCAAATAGCATGTAAAAAAGTAAAAAGCTAGAAAAACGATGTGACACAAATTCAAAAGAAACAACGGAAGTCCATCAGTTAAAGCAATAGAGATTTGTATTAAATAAGCACTTGAGTGAAAAGTTGCGAATTTACACTAGTCATTGACATCTACATCCTTGTTTGGCAAAGTAACATATTTACACTAATTGGCGACATCTACATCCTTGTTCGGCAAAGTAACACATTTACACTAGTCGGTGACATCTACATCCTTGTTTCTTCTGGTGGGCGTTTCATGTAGTCTTTAATTGCCTCATGTAAAGGTAGCCATTTGCTTATTGATACTTTCAGTGCCAAAATCCACCTATAAATGCAGCACATTCATATAATTAATCAGTTCACAAGAACAATTCTGCAAAGATTCCTGTAAAAGACTGACGATTACAGACAGCT